GGGGTAAGAAGCTAAAATGGCTTGTTTTAGATTAAGACTAACTCTAACTGAGGGTCCACGCCGAGGCCCGGCGTTAAAAAAGGATTATTTTGAAATGCAAATGATGCAAAGCTGATTCACAGCTTTGTCCAAATATTTGTATTCACAGAGACCCAGAATACAAATACGGTGCCGAGAATAAGCAAAGAAGCTCGCCCCTCTTACCTTTTAAACTTGTCTTTTTTGTCCCTGATGTCGTCGGCCTCATTGTGGCTGAAGAGTTCAGCGATCCGTGTGGCCAGGTTGCTGTTTATGCAGTTCATGTTGCAGGGAGTAGCCACAATGGCACTCATGTGCTTGTGGCAGTACTGGATGCACTCCTCCACCTGAGCCAGACGCATATACAGAGCACTCATCAAACAAAAATGGGAAATGTCCTTTCAACAATGCTCCGTCCAAACCATGTCAACACTTCTTTAGCAGTTCTAGCTCTTCTGAGTAGTGGTGAGAAAACACTGCTACCGTAACTGCACGGGGGCAAAAGAACATCTGCACTTTCATGCAACACTAACTTAACAAAGCTCTGTGTGTAGGCCTCTTGTTTTTTTGTGGATTAGGAGCAATTACCCATTGTTACCTTTGAACTATCATTCTACACAATGCCTGCGCCTTACTGGGCAAATGTGAGACTTTTGCACCTTTGCTGTAACATTTTTTTTGGATATATCTAAGAAAATGTGTTCACAGCTGAAAAACAAAAGGCCCGATGCACATCACCACACCTTGCGTCACATGTCACAACACTTACTAACGTGTCCATCTTCAAGAACTCGGAGGAGATCAGGATTGAGATCACATTGCTGGGCTCTGTAACCGACAAATACCACATGACCAACCAAGCAAACCCCACGAACGACAAACAACACAGAACACGCAGCCAGTGACGCACCAAACACACACCACGTTTAGTGACCAATAAATCAAGCGCCACAGGTGGTGTAAATGACAGCTCAGGGATGTGTAATAATGTTGATTGTTTTCTGTTCTTGTTTCTTTTTACCAAGTCGGGGTTTGTCCTTGTTTCCCTCTCCTGCTGAGTTCCTCCTGACGTAGTTCATAAGCCAGTCAAAGATCTGCACGTCACAGTGGACTGAGATGTCAACTTCCTCCCACCTCTGGGGGTCCACAGATAAATATTCAGCAAAGTAACGCATCTCCTTGACCAGAAGATCTCTGGGACAAGTGAAGTCCTGCTTCAGGTTCTTGGTCTCATCGCACACATGGATGACCATGTTGGGACTGTAGGGAAAAGCCAAAATAATATTCAATCATATTCATCCACAGGGTGTGTGTGATTAACGCTGAAAACATTTCCACTTTAAGATGGAGTCATGTTTATAGATTCGATTTTCAAAGGATGTGTGAGGAATCTCTCTTAGCTCGGTTCACTGTGGTATGAAAAGATATCTCCCAGCGTACTCTCGTGGTTTCTGAGGTTTTTCATCCTCCTCTGCTGACACTCCTTTCTCTTTCTTCTCCACAGCAGCACTTCTTCCTGTGGACTTCAACTTGGACCCTGTACACAAAAACGTTGGAAAAAACAAAACAAAAGTAAGGTTGTCATGCAGCATGAGAACAAAAATCATACTACACCCCTCTAATTTATTAGAGTCTTTCAATTATGTGTTTCATAGGGGCCTCGGAGCACTTCCGCAAGCTAAATAGCTGTACTGGAACTTACACCATCATGTAACCCATAAAAGAAATCTCTTATTCAAAAAATGTTTATGTGTTTGTGTTTATGTTAGTTGAAGTTTTCAATTTAGAGAAAAAAAGGATTAAACTTAAAATATAACCTGTGATTAGAGTAGAATGACATTTAAACTGCTTATAGTAATTCCAATCGATTATACTGTAACACATAAAATCACATCCAGAATAAGTATCTGGATGATTTTTGTATTTTTGACTCTATACACCATCTGATTGGTTCTGTAACTCAAGCTAGCAGGTCTAATTAAAATGCAGACTTAAGTTACAGAGGGTTTAACAACAGGATCACATTCATTGTTTAGGAATTGGAGCTATTTTTATACATTTATACATTTTTGGTTACTTTTGAGAGACACTCAGAAGTAACTGGACAGCATTCCTCATTATTTGATGACAGTTCAAGAAAGATATATGGCTTCCCATGTCTTTGGACTGTGGAAGGAAGCCAGCATAAAATAGGAAAATATATAAAGACCAAAAGTGGTCAAATTATATAAATAAGTTTCATAATTTCATATTTACTCAGCACTTTCTAGTAGTATGTAACAAGACAATAAATTATGTTATTATTATACTTATGTTTGCCTATTACGCTCATTTCCTGTGGTGCGTTTTTATTCTTTAATTTCACGGTGCAGCCCCCGAGTTTATCCACTGTCTGAAAGATTATTGGTTGCCTCTTGCAAACAGAAGGTTTGAACAGCAGGTGGGTGGGGCTTCTGTGCTCACAGCCAGAACTGTGTGCCTGAGATGACCAAACTTAGTATATCCTCCCTCACTGACATCATGCAGAGCCAAAAGTGTAGGAAACTGTGTGAAACAGCATATTTCGAGCAGTCTGAAGCCTGAGCTTGTGGTTCCCAGGGTTTAAACGCACACATACAGCTCTTGCTCCCCATGTACAATGAACTGTGTACTGTCCACTGTGAAGTTTGAAAGACATGAGTAAAGCTATCGATAAAACCAGTTCCTGCTGATTAAACTTATTGAAGGTTTTATCTGTGGGTGAAAGTAACTGACCTGTAACTTTGCTGCTGCTGCTCTGGCCGCTTCCTCTCTCCACTATGTCCCGAGTGTCCAACAGTGTGGAGAGGAGGTCTGACGGGGAGCTGCTTCCTTCTATCAGGGCATTGCATTGGTTATCCACATGAGGAAACCCCCCCATGCTCTTCAGCTCCTCAAACCGATGGGCACACTGCAACACAATTGCATCAGAGCCACAGAATTATTTCTCATTAAAAATTCAGGTCTCTTGTTACTAAAGCATGGAACGAACTATGGGCGGGATGGGATGGATGGAGAGGCAGGATGGATGAAGGGGTTCTAGTTACCCAGTGATCCAGTTACCTCCTTAGGAGTAAAGCCTGGTACTAGCTTGGCCACATTGTCCCAGTTTATGGGCTGGGGCACACCCCACAGGGAGCCCAGCACCATGTCCAAAACCAGGACGTTGTTGTCGTAGGGAAAGTTGTTGTTATCCGAACAGAAGCGACTCATCTCTACACACACAGAGGGCAGGAAACAATAGGCAGCAAGTCAACAATAAATTCCTTCATCTGTTTAATCATCATAGCCAAATTAGAGCTGAAATCACTGTGCAGTTAGCACCCATTTTAATTGCCTTTAAGCATTCTGCGCATAGTCAGCACATAGATTAATACAAGAGTGGCGTGATTGGCATTTTTTTTGTAGCAGTATTCAGACGTGTTATTGCAGTTGGATAAAAGCTGTGTTTAAGTCTATTAGTCCTTACACTAATTGCTCTGTACCGTCTGTCTGAGGGCAACAGGTCAAACAGGGAGTAACCAGGATGTGAGTTATCTTTTATGATGTTTTGGGCCTTTTTAAGACAGCGGGTGTTGTGTAGATCTTCCAAAACTGAATGCTTTCAGGTTTTTGACTATTTGTGAGGTAAGTAGAGTGGGCCAATAGCGTCTGAGGGACCGTTTTGTAGCCCAGATAATAAATTGCTGGATAAAAGGAATGGACCAGTTGTGAAACTGTGCACCACTGCATAAAATAATAAATTTGGCCAACTACTGAGACAAATGTTGTTTCTTTCTTTAGTATGATTTGGTTGTTATGCCTCAGAAACACATTTTCATTGAGAAAAAAAATGAAGTTTATTGTAAAAGACTTTGCTTGGCGGCTGAACTTGCCATTCACTACTATTCAAAGTTCCTGTGTTTTGTTTTTCTGTTATTAAATGCATCACAGGTTAGAGCATACTGGTGACTATGTATGAGCCGAAAGAGGAGACTGATCATTCATGTACTGTACATGATACGGGTAGATGCTGTACGTTTATGGGATGCCGTAGAGGCACAGATTAGGGTAGGCCGAGTGCCTCTGCCCTCCTGCTGAATCAACATCAGATGCTTTCAGGTCACATTAAAATCCTCAGATTTCCTAGGACACACATCCAACAACAGAAATGACACTTACTGTTCTGGTCTGTGAGATAATCCTCACCGTCGTCTCGTACAATCTAATAAGCGGGTAAATGTTTCATCTCATTGTGCGTGTGGATGATGCTGATGCTGCGGTGTTCTCCTACCGGCTAATGCTAGCTAAGTTTGCGGGACGGGACAGATCTGCTGCCTTCAGGTACTCCCTGTAAATATCAAACGACGGTCACTAGTGATGTGGTCCGTCCTATTGCGTCATACCTTCTGGTGGGATTTACACCGACGTATTTAGCTCTCTCTCTCAACGCGTTTGAGCACGGTGGCTATGCGATGACATTTAAACCAAAGGCGAAAGTGAACTAGAACATCAAAAATGTGCCTTCAGGCTCAACTCTGCCTCAGTAATTCCGATAGCCATGGAAGGTAGCATTAGCTTCTAGCTAGCATACAGTTAGCTGAGCAAGTGGCTACTTAAATTGCCGTATGTATGTCATTAAGCCGACAACACAGAAAATGCTATCGGCAGGTTACACTATCAAAATACTACATAAAAATCTACCCCCAGAACACTTTCGATTAACAAAACGCGTTTATTCGGTCTGTATCTGCAACGGTGACTCGTCACTGTTGGCGCAGTGCAGCAGGCGTCCTGTTGCTTGGAGACAGTGGTCGCAAATCAAGTGCTTCTGCCATAAAGTCAGACTTAAAAACAAATTAAATGAAATTATATTATACTAATATGTCATTTAAATTAGCATAAACTAAACAGTTAGGTCCAAGTTTTGAAATTGAAAATCTTGACAAAATTTCTAACATTGTCACTTGACAATGGACAAAAACGATTTTTAAATTATTTATTTTCATAATAATCATATTAAATATTCCAAAAATTTCTGAATGGTAACTGTTGAAAATGTGCAAAATTCACCCCTTTCTTATTCTGAATAGATCAAATTAACGTCACAGAAAACTATACAGAAACCCAAACATGTGAGGGTCAAAACAAAATGTGATCACATGATCAAACAAAACACCTTAACTGTGTTCTTACACTGTCCTTGTACACATAATGTGCCAGTGCGCCTAAAAACACATTTTAGAATACTCATTTGTTTATTTTTGTAAAAGCTTTGAGTTTAAAAATAAAAATTCAGCTCAGATTTTCAGACGCAGTGAGCCTTGTGCATGGAAACAATTCTTGGCAAGTAATAAGAAGGTCCATACTGCGTTAAAAAAAATTGAATCGAAAATTACTTTAACAGTTCCTGATGAGGTCTGTGGATTGTCCACCACCCCAAAATATGAACTAACAGCAGATTATTAGTTAAGCTCCAGAGTTACACACTGAGCAAACCGCTGTTATGAATGAACATTTATGGACACAAAGATCATGGATCAGTCTTTTCAGGGATGTTAAGTGGTGTGTTGGAGGGCATGGTGGAGGTGGATGATCCCTGATTGAATGAAGCAGGTGTTTCCCTGTACGCTGACTCCAGAAGGTCCTCTGAGGAAGCCGAGGCAGAAGAAGAGGCTGAGGCAGAGGCAGAGGCGGGGTCTGGGGTAAAGCCTTGGGCTCCAGTTGTCTGCATTTGTGCAGCCAAGCTTGTTTGGGGTTCCTGTGTGTTCGCCCGCTGGGCCTGAGCAAGCCTCTCCATATCTGCGGCCCGGCGGCCTCTCCTCTTGCCGAGGATCTTAACGTAGTTGGCTGGGATGAGCCCTGTGGTCTCACCGTCCACACTGGCCAGGAGCCAGCCACGCACACGGGGCTGTAGCTCTACACACGAGGAAGAGGAAAACACTGTGATAGTTGTAAACATGGTGCACGCTCACACAAAAGAAGAGCCCTCATCTGTTATTCCCAAGATAAGGAAAACAAAAATAGAAGGTTTTTGGTCAAAGCACTCAGAATCAAATGTCCCGCAGCCAGTAAAAAGCTCATCACCTTTAGGAGCGAGGTTGAGCATCTCTCCAGCTTGCATAGAAAGCTCCTCCTGAGAAGCAGCTGTAAAATCATATTCTGCTCTGGCCACCACGTGGTCGTCCTCCCCACTTGCCCAGTTAGTGTCTAAATCAAGCAAGGAAACTGAATTAAAGACATTCATAATTTTAACTTGTTTTAATTAAAAACAAGTCCACTTGCTTTGTACTGTCAGTTGTAAAGTGACTAATGGCATATGGAGCTATGATACCCAATTTATTTGCCACAGAGTTACAGAAAGGCACATGATGTCATACAAGCAGACTCATCTTTACATGTGTATTGCAAACAACAAAACAAAATGTATCTTTATGAATATGTGAGTGCTTGCTGTTCCATCTGCAAGCCTTACCTTTGATTTCAGAGTCAGCAGTGGAGCTCAGCTTCCAGATAAGGTAGGGTACACCCAAGACTAGAGCAAAAAACATTAAGATGGGCCAGGATTTAACTGCCTGGTCCTCCATCTCTCTGGATGATCTCATACCAGTGGCCTCACTGGGGTTGGGCCACAGGGCTTCGACCTCAGGGTCTAGCCTCCGCCCAAGCAGCTTCTGCACCAAGCGGTACAAGTAGTGCAATGTGCGCACCAGAGCAAACTTTGACAAAACCCGGGTGAGGTGCACGCGCAGTCGTGTGACGTGGTTGACTACTTCCAGTACGGCACGGAAACCGTTATGTAGCGCAGAAAAGGTGGCGTCCATCATCATGCTTATTGAAGCAAACGCATGGACGATGCTCTCGATGGACTCAAAGGCACCGCGGCTACTTTCTTCTGCCTGCTGCACAAACCTGCTGGGGGGGACGTCTTCAAGGTGAGGTGTGTGTCTGTATCCTCCCAGGCTGTAGCCGCCACCATAGCCGCTACCATAGCCTCCACCATAGCCGTAGCTGTAAGGACTGTAGCCACCATAGATGGAGCTCCCATAGGGGCTGTAAGATTGGGAGAAGGAGCTGTAGGATGGACGGTAGGACTGCTGGACCTGACGAGGGGGCACCGGGGGCGCCATCCTGGGCAGGACAGAAGGGCCAGCAGAGGTGGAGGAGCCTCTAGCTAGTCCCAAATCTGTAGATCTGTTTGGTGACAACATAAAGATAGAATATCAGTAAAATCCACCCATAATTCATTGCAACATTAATTGAGCAAAGCATTAGTTCAGAAACGTCATGGAGTCAAGCTAAACCACAGTCCACAAACTGCTCAACAGCTCAAATATGTAAATATGTAAGAAAAATTGTGTACGTTTCTGTCCTGTGTACTGTTTGTTTGTATATGTGTCTTTCTGGCTGCTGTTACAACCAAATTACCCCTTGTGGGACAATTAAAGGATTATTCTATTCTATAGAGTGGCTCTCTTCCACAGCGTGTCCTTTGTCCTTTCTCCCTCCCCTCAACCCCAACCAGTCCTCAGAGGCTGCCCCTCCCTATACCTGGTTCTGCTGGAAGTTTCTTCCAGTTAAAATGGTGTTTTTCCTTCCCACAGTCACCAAGTGCTCGCTCAAAAGGGTTGTTTTGATCATTTAGTTTTCTCTGTATTACAATAGGACCTCCACCTTGCCGTATAAAGTGTCTTGAGGTGACTGTTGTTGTGATTAATAGTGATGGGACGTTCTGTATCGAGGCTTCGGAGCGTGTGTCGCGTAATGGAGGGGGCGTTTCCGCGAAGCGCGTATCGAGGCTTGCTTCATTTATGGGAGGAGCTGAAAATGATGACGTCCGAAGCCTCGCTGCCCGGCTGTACCACGTGACTGGTTCATGAAGTGGTTCGAACTTTGCCGCGAGATATGACAGCGATATAAACCCCTCAGACTTCATTCAAAAATGTGGGTGTTTGATGGAGAGTTGCGGTTAGTGAGAGTTTGGAGACCGTTTGGAGGTTTATGAGTGTGAGGAAAGTCAGGAGAGAATGGAGCCAGCTAAGAAGAGGAGGATGTCCTCCCCTGTGTGGGAACATTTTGATCTTATTCCTCCCAACAAGGTATGTAAATTTCTACAGAAGATGTATTTTCATGATACTGATGGTGCAATACAATTTATGTTGAGCTGTCTTGACTTTTGTACAAGGTGAAGTGTTTGCTATGTGCCAGGGAGCTGGGATATAACAGCAACACCTCATCCATGCTTAGGCACTACAGAGCTTTGCATGAGAATAAGGGGGACACCGATTGTGGAGCAAGACCAGGTGAGCCATCAAATGCAATGATAATATAGGATGCAGTAATGTTACTAAATGATATAACAATATTATACAACTGTAATAAGTTACGCGTGTGATATTTATACTTGTGCTTTGTCTTTATTGTCTTTCCTCAGGAGAACAATCTCAAATAGATGAAGACCTGGTCAGCATGGTGATTGAGGACTCCCAGCCATTTAGCATTGTGGAGGACAAAGGATTCAAAAGATTTGTTAAATCATTAAATCCTAGCTATGTTCTCCCCACTAAAAAGGACGTAAAAGCAGTGAAAATTTAGTTTTTACAGAATAAAATGTGAACAGGCAGGACTGTGTAGCTGTCCATACCTCAACATTACAAAAGCACAACCACTGTCCACACCCCAACCACACCTCACCTCACAGTAAATGATCATTTGCATTTTAAGCATTTCCAAATAATCATTTTCCATACTGCCACTATAAATATACACAGTATACTGCCATCACTACAATATACATGTTTTACACACTCCTTTTGTTGTTGACATTTACAGGCTGTGTGCAAAATGCCACACTCTTCAAATTCATGCCAGCTATTATTTTTACGTCCAGTAGGTGTCCTGCTAGAGCAAATGAAGCTTCGCGTTGGGGTGAACCAATTGGATGAAAAGCTTCAGTGCTTCATGGGGCTTCATCTGCCCATCACTAGTGATTAATGCTATATACATAAACTGTAATTGAATTGAGTCAACTCTTCCTCCCGTCTCATCTCCAGCTCTGCTACTCTTCATCTGTACAGACTGTGGAAAATACACAGTAAATTCACAGTGCCGCTCACCATCAACCAGCAGCTACCGGCAACTTTTAGCATGGGATGTTTTCTCATGTGAGCTGACGTTATGAACCAGTCAACACACCTCAAATATCATTATCACAGCTCTGATTGTTCAGCTTCTCCAATCTGATGACCATATTCTCTTAACCTTAAAAGGATATGTTGATATGTCCAAAAAAGATAAAGATGTGTGCAGATTTAATTCCATTTCCCCCCTTAAAGTGGAAAAAAGTGTCAGGGGGGGGGGGGGACTGATTGAACTGTGATTGTGGAATTTGCCTCACACTGGTGCGTTCACTATTGCTTGTTTGAGAATACTGCTGTATATACACAAATGCCAGCGGACAGCATAAACAAACTGTTGTACATATATTTTTATAATTATCCGAATATAATAATAAGACAATTAAAAAAATATGACTTGCAGCAGCAAGCGGAGGAGTTTAATCTTCTCTGGGTCTTGTTTACGAGTTTGGGGACAGGTGAGCAGAGGACTGACAAATGGAAAAAAACCAAAAAAAACAAGAGCTTCTCTAAGGGTGGCTGGCCTCTCCCTTAAAGACAGGGTGAAGAGTTCAGTTACTCGAAAGGGGCTCAGCGTAGAACTGCTATTCCTTCACACTGAAGAGAGGCAGATGAGACGATTTAGGTATCTGGCAAGGACGCCTCCTAGGTGAGGCGTTCCAAGCATGGACAACCAGGAGGCCCCGGGCCAGACCCTAGACGCTCTGCAGAGGCTATATCTCTATATGCATTTTCTGCAGGAAATTATCGGGCGAAGGAACTGAGTTTGTTGGCAAACAGCAACAGGAAGACAGCAGCTACATTTTCTTCTGAATTGACTGTTGACAACTACAGAACAAACAAAAATGCAATTCAAATATTTCTGGGGCTTTTATTAATTTCACTTGTTAACCAGAATTGCAACAAACAAACAAACAAAAACGCTCAATCAACAGAAGAGAGAGAAATCTAGCGAGACGCACTGCCTAGGACACGGCCTCAGAGGACCAAACTAGCAGTTAGCCACTTATACGGCTGTGCAGATAAATAATTAGTTGCCGTTTTTGTTTTTGGGGCATTTTTAATGGCAACCAATTACTCTTACAATCGCAAACACGACTCATCGTTTTGCAATAATTTTCACCATCGTGTCAATTATTAAAACAAAATGTCAACTGTCGTCTAACAACTCCTGCACGAAGTGACAGCGACAACTTTAGCATTTCAACTGCGAGCAGCTGCAGCTGTAAACACGAGGGACTTCTCGCGACTGCGGCCCCTCCGAAATTCGCTCACCTGTAATTTAAAGGTGCACCAACTGAGCCAGGAATCCGCCTTTCCCATGGCCGTGTCGGGGGCTGTGAATCCATAGCAAAATATATGTGCACAGTACACAAATAATATAGAGCCCTCGCAGAATCTCCTTCCACTACTGCCTACCCGTATTTCCTCTTCTTCTTCTTCTTCTTCTTCTTCTTTCTTACAGTTATATTGGCGGTTGGCAAACAATTGAAAGGTGCATTACCGCCACCAACTGGTATGGAGTATGGTCTGGAACGACGACAAAAAAAAAAATCTCAAATCCTGCCAAACAGGTTCCCCTCTTTTAAAAACTGAAATAAGGCCTGATAACTTTTACTTCCTGATTCCATTCGCAACAACTCAACCAGATCCAGTTTGATTTTTAGGTTACTCCGTATTTCCACTTCTCCTTTGGGTTTTTTTTTTATCGTTGTTTAAAAACATAGAATAGACGCTTTACCGCCACCATCTGGTGTGGAGTTACACTGCAGTAACTGAGCTCTCACTGTCAAAAAAGTAGCCCAAAATTGGTGTTTGCCCCCGCGTTCCACTCCACTGTTCCACAGAGGAACCTTTTGACAGTGATAGCTCAGTTACTGCAGTGTGAAGTACTCTGTGGACCTGTAGTGTAATGTTGACAAAATGCATCATTTAAGTAAATTTTCTATCTATTATGCCAAAATATGACCTTATGCGGTTAATTTTGTGAGTTCTCTGACATCTGTGAGGTTAGACTTAACTTTTATTTTCTGAAATAAAATAAACAGGAAATATCTGTTTAAGGAAAAGTCTTAGTCTTGTCCAAGTCTAAATATTAATGCTGAGGTCTTTCTTGTTTCTTCATGCACATTTCTAATGCTTTCCTTTAATTCTATGAAATCATTTTTGGTATTTGAAAGTCTTTTTACATTTTATTCAGAGCTATTTTCTCTGTTTCTTTCTCTGTGTTTGCTACCTTTCCTTTCATTTCTGCCTCAAAATGCTCCTGGACAAATCATTGTCCTTTGTGGCTTCATTTTAAATCTGGAATCTTAATTTTATTTCATTTTATTTTAATTTAAATCCAAATGCCATCCATATGATTAAAAACTTCCCCACTCTTTGTCCTTAATGTCTACAGTGTTGCCTTCTGGTAGTACATTCCCCTCCTGACTCCTTTCCCTCTCTTTGTTACCATTTACACTTCTTCCAACTACAGATCCCACACTTGATGGTGACTTGTGGTATTGGCTCAAAGTTGGCCTCTAGTGATCAACAAACTCCTGATGAAGGCTCTCAGGGTCCTGTTGATCTTGTTAAACTTTCTTGGATGTCTTCCACTGTGATGCTTACTGGTTCCTGTTCAGAGAGGTTGCTGTGGTCTGGTCTTAGCTCTGCTAGCCACTGAGCATTGTTGTTATGGGTCCCTTCTCCCACATGCTCTTCCAGTATTACTCTATCTCCAGTCTCGGTGGCACTGTTTTCATATTGTTCCCCTGCACTGAGTGTACACCTTGGATGGTATAAATTTCCCTCTCTCCCTGCAGGCGGTCTTTATCCTTCATCCTCCGGTCCTCTACCAGATGCTCAAGGCTCCTGCGCAGTATCTTTGCTGTTCCTAGGACTGCGTCTGATCTCCTAGAGTGACTTGCCCAGGTTGGGGGGGGTCACTGTACCGAGTAGTCAGATTACCTGATTACTGAGACCACTGTTGTCTTTATCCTCCACATCTTCTCAAGCTATTCTCCCAGCCCTTGGTACTTGTTGAGCTTCTCGACTTCCTTTTTCCTGATGTTGCTATCATTCGGTATAGCTACATCTGTCACTACAGCCATCTTCCACTACTTGTCCACCACCACTATGTCTAGTTGGTTAGCCATTACCAGTTTGTCTGTCTGTATCTGGAAGTTCAACAGGATGTTAGCCTGGTCATTCTCATCCACCTTAGGGGGCATCTCCCATTTTGACCTTGGGACTTCCAGGCCGTGCTTGGCACAGTATGACCTGTATGATACTATGCCAGCCACTTGGTCATGACATTCATGACATTCCATGTATGCCCTGACTGCTAGCACCTTACACCCTGCTGTTATGTGCTGAATTGTCTCAGGGGCATCTCTACAAAGCCTGCCCCTGGGGTCTTGTCTGGTGTGGTGTATATATTTATACACCACCATATATACCGTATATATATATATACAGACCTGAGTCAAAAATTCTGTATTTACAGGTAAAACAGTCATTACACCCCTGAGAGGGGAAAAAAAGCAAAGGCAGACGAAATTGGGTGACGTGTGAGGTCATCTCAGAATGTCACCAACTTAAAAAACATTTGCACCTTGTGCTTTTGTCCAACAGAGGGTGCTGTGACTCATCAGATAAGACTGACGCAGTTCTGTGGGCTTTAATATTACAGATGAAAGGGAATTTCCCCTGTTTGTACTCTGTAATTAAACAAAGAACACGTTTTTGTTTAAAAACCATGGTTTTACTAACTAATATGCAGTCATTTTTAATATAATCTGACGAGAGTCATCAACACGTTGCTGATGTTTGGATTTTTATTACAAAACCTATAACAGGCAGTCAGAATGTGAAATGTGAGTGAACAGCTTTTGGTAACCAAAGAAAATACTACACTACAAAGTCTCCTGTCCCCACTCTAATGCACCCAAGATGACACAATTTCCTCTATCTAGACAGTAAAGTTGCTAAGACCTGATAACATCTCTGTGTTATCCTCTGTAACCTGCTTAGCAAAAAGAAACAACATGCCGCTGACACAGTTTCACACCTCTGACACTAACAGAAGATGGATACTTGTTTGCCGAGTAGAATATATATCTATATATATGTCTATATCTATAGATATAGACATATATATATTAGCATTATAAGACTTCTGTTGTCAGAAATATTGCTGACAGCAGCTTCAAGATTTGACTTTTAACCTGTTGTGTGAGATTGGCTTGAGGATGCGTTCACTAGCTCTCGGTAACGTCAGTTAACTGAGGGGGTGATCTGTGACTCCGCTGCTGTGAGCGTGAGCAAAGGAGGTGTACAGTGTGGTTTAAAAAACCACTAAGAACCAGGAGGGAGTCCTGTGATGTCAAGCACTGTTGGTGCATGTGGGTGGGTGGGGGTGGGGTGTGCGCAGCATTGTCACATTAGATTCCCTAGGGTGGGACTACAGAAAACACCAGTGTGATCTCACAGCGTAGGTGTACAATACCGAGGCTGCCTTTTTGTGGCGTGATGGTGTCAGAATCCAGGGCCAAAGGTGCGAATCCAAGTCTCTGCCTGTGGTGACACTGAGTGGGGGAAGACTGTTGAACTGATGATGCTTCTGATATTTAGGGGTTCGTGCCATGCAACTGTGACCTGTGACCTTTTCAGATTGTGATGATATTGGAAGAAGAATGATTTTTACACTTGAGTTAATTCACAGAACTAAAGATATTTAATTTATTACATGCTAAAAGGTTGTGGATTTGTAAGTGTGATTGTTGGTTGTAAAAATACTGCATCTGCCACTCTTCTGGGAAAAATCTAATCTGGAACTTTTTGTAAATCTTGTCCCACATGATGCCAAACATGTTGGGTTGTATCAAGCTTGCATTCTTTGGTAAACACTTTTTGATGATGCACAAAAATGCTGTAACACCGAAGCAGGACTGTGAAAGCAAATTGAAAGAATACTATTATCGAAAGACAGGTTTTTCAAAATAAGGGTTAGGTAACCTCTATGGCAGGGATGTCAGATTCATTTTACGTTGTGGGCCACAGGCAACTCACTTTGATCTTAAGTGAGCCGGACCAGTGAAACGCTCCTATCTGTCACATTAAATACACTTTAAACATGAAAGTAAAAACATTAAATACACTTTAACTACACATTTAATCCCTTAGATATTTTGATACAAGAAAAAGAAGAGCAGTTTTAATGATACTTCTCAGTATTTCTACATGATAAAGAAATGCTACTTTGGGCTTAAACTGTCAGAAACAAATGTATCAAATTATCAGTTGTATCTCAGCACGACCAACACATTTTAAAAGGCTCTATTTTTTTTTACTGTAGATCAATATTCTCTGCTTCATTTTTGTCTCACACTTCTCACTGTTTCACTAGTACTTGGTTTAGTGTTTGCAGACAAGTTGGTGTCTTCAGTGCAAACTACAGGTGACTGCAACAATCTGCTAGTGACTAAAGCAATAAGATTGAGGTTTTTGCCAACCTAGTCAGGGAATACACATTTTTCCATCGTGAACAGTGGTATGTGACCAGTCTGTAGGCGTATGTCACTGGGCCCAAAGCATCACCAAAATTTCAGAAAAGTTAACATGTAGCGGTTACACGACTGCAAAACCACAATAGCTTAGCTTAGGCAGCTTAGCTTAGCATAAAACTTGGGAAAAAAAGCAACCTTTTGACAAAGCTAGATAAAAGTTTCTAGAGTTGCTTAGTTTAAAGAAAAAAACTAACCTATGAAGCGGATGCTGATTAAAGTTCAAAAGAAAAAAAACAAACCCTGACATCTGCTAGCTAACACACATTCCAAGCTCTGGTTATGTGTTGTACGCTATCACATTGTTGGTCAGCAGTTTCTTCTCTCCCACTGGATATCACTTCCACCTTTTTTTCAAAACTGAAAGAGTTTAGTTGAACTCAGTACCCACCCACAATTTTTAGCAATGACAGTAACAGTTACTGTAACTGTTCCCTTTATAAAGCTAAAAATTGCTATTTTTTGTTGACGTTCCAAGGGTTCTGGTTGCTTCATACTTCCTAGTCCCTTTTTGTTTGTTCTTCTCTTTGAGCACAAAGAACCCAGCAGTATAAACTTGGTTTGGGTCTTGGAGCTGTAAGACAGGCAATCTATTCCCCGCTAATGCTGAATGAGCAAGAAATCACCAAAATGAAGAGGAACCAAAAGAAAGTTTTTTGTAAGAGCCTCTGAGATGTACATTTAAATCAATTGGAAATAAATTTGGCGGGGCAGCCAGAAACTTGCCCTGTATATTCCTGTGTTTACACAACCGAAATAGGTGGTGATCATAGTAAAGATTAGTTCAAATAATCCCTAACCTTTCCCCAGTGCCGTATATCTGACATGTCAATTTCAGCACTCATTCTGAACTTCCAGGGTTCCTGCTGTATTTTTTATGGGCAGCACGCTGGAATGACCTGAGAGTGTTGAGCGTACTTTTTTTACACACACAGCTTCACCCTTCCTCTTTGTGTCAACTACTTGGTATTGTACAAATATACATGACAGAGGGGAATAAACAAACTCTAACAAAAGTGGAACTGCC